ACGGCACCGAGGGTGCTGTCCATTGCATCGGAAGTGTACCCAGGTGCAGTGGACGGCACCTCCTATGAAGCGGCCTTTGGCTGTTTTAATAGTCCGCCGGCGTGCCGGCGTGGTAGTGCTAGGCGAGGTAGCGGCCGAGGTAGTGCTAGGGGGGGAAGGGAGGCAGCGGTCGGTCGACGCGGTCGCATCGCGCCCAAGCCCCTTCGAAGAGCTGAAAACAAAGAAAAACAAGATCAAAAACCATCTGCATTTGCCCTCCTAAGGGGCTTAGCGGTATAAATCTCATCTTGGATGGCCACTGCGACTAAGTATCCTTCCTTTGTTAGGAGACTTTGCTCATACAGACGGTGAGCACATCCAATTGTTAGTAGCGATAGAATGAGCTCTTTTTAATTTCTTACGGAATAAAGTTCTGTGGGCCAATCATTAAAGCAACTCTCGAGTCGAGCGTTGCTTTTGACTACATAGTTGCAGCACTGCATATCCAGATAAGTTAATTGATTAATTAATATGAAGTGCGCGTTAGCGTGCATAACCCAACTGGTAAGGCAAATGATATGGCAATGAAAGGATACTTCAAAAGGCAACAAAGAAAAGTAGGAAGGTAACAACTTAAAGGGTTGAAGCAACGTCATGCATCGGCCGTAGTTTGTGGTAGACTGGGAGCCACGCGTTTTGGTGGTCCCACCAGCTTGCCCACCGTATTATATTTAGCGTCCCTATGCCTTTAGAACGTTGTCTCAAACTGTTTGAGCGACGACGGATAGGGATCATCGACTCAGGCGACGACACCCCGCCGCAACGGAGCTTAAATTTCAAAGGGGATTAGAAGATGTATACAGGGTGCGCCATAAATATGCTGACAAAAGAATTGGGCTACAGAAACCGCAGTTCATATTGATACATGGTGGTTCATGTGAGATATTTACTATGCATCGCATCTGCAAAACGAACACGGTGATCTTGTATAACCGTCTCTTGTATAATACTAATTATAGATCGAAGACGCTTCGGCTACTCTTCGGCTACTTTTTTGAGAGACTCCAGTCCGGGCTACTTTCAGGAGCTGCAACAGTGGTGCGTTTTGAAGCGCAGACCAGCGATCCATCACATTGTGGTCCGGGAAACTCACTAGCAGGAAGATTGGAAGCTGGGATGAAGTCGCGAACATTTTCTTAGCACCAGTCTTGATCTTTTCCCATTCGTGAGCAAGTGCGCCGTATTCCAGCCTAAGCCAAACCATCATGAAAGAGTGAAAATGGCTACGAGAGGCAATCTGACTCTTCTCAGCGGCTCCAGCAGTCGCAGTGTGAAATGTACGTATACTCTGGGATCTCAACATTTCTTCCACGCTGAACACCCTTTAGTCAAAAAAAAAGTGTCGAAGCGCGTGCCGCGCGCAGGTGGCGCACAGCATTTGTTTTTTCTCTCCAACTTCTCGTCATAAAGCTTATAAGACTTCCGAATCTTATCTGGATACATTTGTATTAACTCGGGGTAGATTCTTCTCATTGGAGTAGAACATACAAACAAATCAGCAGTCATTTTTCCCGTGTTTCTGCAGGTTTCGCAGCGTACTCTTTTCCAAGCAGTTGAATTCGGAAAAGGGGTCGTATGTGAGGTAAGACGACCGCTTTGAGGTTTGCCGTTGACCTGTTTACGCATCGCGATTCAAGGGACTGACATGGGGGAAATACTGAAACGAGGAGAGACCCCGGAAAAGGACTACCAAATGCGCGCAAAGACGGAGAGGTTGGTGGGTGTCTTAAAAGCTCCACCGTTTTTTGGAATCTAATGAATTGAGAACTCCAAAGTAGCTATGTGGTCTAATGTATATCATAAACCAAAGGGAAGGTGCAGATTTGGAGAAACCCTCCCAACAAAGAAACTACGGACGTCAATATGTCGTTACCATATTTATGGCACCACCTGTATATACTGACAAAAATGGCGCGTTATATCTACAGGGTGTCCCATAATTATGGGCGCCAAAATTCAGAAATTTCTAAAATAAAAATAATCTGTCAAATTCACATTACCTGCTATTAATTAGTTGCATAAGGAGGTTTCCTTGCAATATGCATATGGTTGCTGAAGAAACGACAAAGGATACCTGCGTGCCACATGCGAGAGGTCGAGAGCAAACTTTGGGCCTCTATCCGCGCTAATGGGGGGGGGGGGTATTTTGAAATGTGATTGTAGCGTGTTGTAGCAAATGGCGTTAGCTATTGTGCATAGAAATTCCATCGTCTTTCGCGGCTGAGAAGCTTCAAATATATTACTACTATTAGGTTGGAAGGAAAGTCCTGCAACAAAAAATTTGAAGCGTCAGCAATTTGTATCAACAGTGTGAACACGGTAGCAAGAGTGATAAACTTGTAGGACATTCCTCAGGTAATCAACACATGAGCTAATAAGGGCACGCGTGTGGGCTTTAGCAGCATTACGGTCAATAAATGGACAACACTCAATTCGCACCATCACCTTCTACTAAGCACGCCAAGGAAAAACGCGGGTGTAGTGGCTCAAATTATCAGCAACCTATTCAATGCTGGTACTGCTCACCGATCAACGGTCAACAATCGGTTGGATCGCTTTACTGAAGGAGATACTAGTCTTCGAAGTCACGCAAGCATCGTCTCTTAATTTAATGGAGGTTGAAGGGATCCATTCACTGGCGAGTTGCTAAACGCAGACTAGATAGACACAGCTACCGGTTTCCCCTATGAACCCCGAAATTTGGCCAACGGGGTTAGAGAAGGACGATCAAAATCGTAAATCAGGCCCCTACTGAGGGACAACGCACGCCGAAAATTCGTTTTAGACCCACGTCAAAAGTTGACCGATCCCGCTTGGTTCCAGGTTGTTCATCACTTGTACTCCCTGAGTGTTGCCCCTTTCACCTACCATGCGCTCCGCCTTCTTGAGCATGCCGTTGTGGAAAAAAATCGTAACTTAATGTGATCTGAAAACGGCCGTCAATTACTTCTTTGAGTCACAGCTTCCTCACTCCTGGATAAAAGTCATCAATGATTTACTCAAAGGATAATAGAAGGTTGTTGACCTCTCTGGTAAATATACTTCCGAAAATTGATTGGCCTGGAAATTTTCAGAAATGATTTGAAAAAGACCTTCATCCTGTTGCAGGACTTTCCTTCCAACCTAATATGAATTGGCGCCCATAATTTTAGGACACCCTGTACAAATGACAGCTCGACAATTTTTCTTTATGAATGAATGTAGTCGCATGTTAGCTGCTGTGAGGGTTCATGGGCTTCTGGCAATTGAGGCGAAGGGGACAACCCTGTGAAATAAAGAGAATTAGTATAAAAATGAGAACGATATCACGAGTTTGCAGGAGATGAGCGAATTGATTGCCTCTCCTTGGCAATCTGTTCACCTGTCAACCTTCTAACGCTTACTTGGTGGCCATTAACAATCAAGCTGATGAAGTTTGATACGGTTACAAACGCGTTTGAAAGAAGCCGTCCACTATACGGGTCGTCAAAGTCAGCTGGCTCAGTAAAGTCAATAGAATCTGAACGCAAATTTGTTAACATCATGTGCTACAACATACTGAAATCACATCCCAGAATATCCCCCGTGAGCGTTCATGGAGGCTCAAAGTTTGTTCCCGAACTCACATGTTGCACGCAGGTATCCTCCTCCAATTCTTCCCAAAAGTTCTTCAGTCTTGCTTTCTAGGACTCCACGCTGAGACTGCAAACCCGGCAGGTCCTCTTCCAATCAGGGACCATATGGAGGAGTCAAGTGAGTAAAGGGCTGGAAAGCAGGATGGTAGTATCTTCACTCACTACCGGCCGAGCATGGCTATGTGGGCTGGTGTACCCTCCTGCTGGAAGGACTACAAGCTGTTTCAAGAGTCGGATCATTGCTTTCTAACGCCCATCAGTATGCCTTCTGAGTGAAGGTCCTCGTCAATTTTCGCGCCGGCACCAATGAAACCACGAGCGTCTTACCCTTGCCACCGACTCGCTCGAAAAATATCGCTCATGGCACTTCCTTTGTAGGAAACTGCACATCTATGTGAACAGCCAGAATGTGTCAATTTTATTTATTCAGGAACGGGTTTTTCGTGAAGATTTTCGGCTAGAGAAAACGATAAAGGGTTGCGTATCACCACTCGAATGTGTTTGAAATTTTTTGCATTTTTTGCCCCCTCACTATCTGTTGAACTTAGAAACGATATGAAGAAGGTATTTCTGCATAAGATCAGAATCGCGGTATAGCTTCTGCTTGACAATCCGCTCCATCGACAACTCGATAAGTCATGCCCCTTTGCCGTCTTTCTGATGGGTCACGCAGGATCACGACCTGAATAGTGTTGGATTGGATCTTCTTTTCTGACGGACATTATACGAAACACAACGAACTATGTGTTGCCCTTCCGATTCTCGCATGCTGATGATTGTGAGTGGCGTTGAATGAGCCTCAGCCATCCAAAAGATATTAAGAGTTTCACTCCAGCTACCATGTATATTGCAAGAAAACCTGGCGCTATTGCACTATTACACCCCAGTAGGAGGTGATATGGGTCAAAAAATTTTTTTTCGCTGAAACTTGCACCAGAGGGGTTATCGAGGCCGCTGATCACGAATATAATATCCATTTTTGGCGCTGTCGCCAAATTGAAGCCAGTTGGAGCCAAGGGTGTTTTCACCAAACTCGCCAAACTAAACTTGTGTAACGGGATTATCGAGGCCGCTGGTTACGAATATGGCATTCTTTGTGAAACGGATAGCTCTCTTTGATGATAGGTTGAGCCCAACTACCTGAAGGCACCTTGGAGATTGCGCTACAGACCTCTCGAGCAGACGGAATGAAATCGAAATGAGGTCAAAGCATTTTCCCACGCTTGCAGGCAGCCAGGTCTTGGGAAAACGGTATGACCCCAGGCACTTCCTACGCTAGCAGGCAGCCAAGGAATCGGCATGAGTAGCCGTAAATTCATCTCTCGCTTTCGTTACCGAAGTGAAGCAATGGCTCTCAAAGTTTTGAGACAACGCAATCGCCAGCAGGAGTTGATGGATTTCTCATTGAAGGATGTGTTCGAAAAACTCCAGATGGATCACCTGCAGTTCCAGGATTGGCTGCGCTCTATGGGGCCAATGTCTACACCGTTATGCCCATCGTGCCAAGGATCCATGAAGCCGAGGAACGACGAGCACCACAATGGCTGGGTGTGTAACCGAAGATCGTGCCGTACTGGGCCGACAAACGAAACGAAGGTCTACGTACTTGCTAGAAAAGGCTCATTCTTCGACAAGTCCAACCTCGACGAGTCGACTGTGTTTGCTCTGACCTATTTTTGGCTCCACGACATGGGAAAGGTAAAGGACAAAGCATACGTGCTTCACATGAATCCTCGTACCGTTGTTCACTGGGAAAAATGTTTCCGTGACGTGTGCGCAGAACACTTTAGAAGGAACCCACCAATCATCGGAGGATTCGGATGTGAAGTGGAAATCGACGAAACCCCCACCAATCATCGGAGGATTCGGATGTGAAGTGGAAATCGACGAAACCCTGGTTACTCGGCGCAAATACAACCGAGGACGCTGGGTGCGTAGACACCAATGGCTTTTCGGAGGCATCGAGAGGGGAAGCGGTCGAGCTTTCCTCACCCTTGTTCGGAGAAGGGATGCCCCCACTCTCCTGCGTCTCATTACGAAATACGTAAGACCTGAGACCACCATATTCAGTGACAGCTGGAGAGCTTACTCTCAAATTTCCACCCTGCCCCTCGGATACAGACACCTCCAGGTCAACCATCAGTTGAACTTCGTCGATCCCAGAACTGGAGCACATACTCAGCATGTTGAGTCACTGTGGCAAAAATACAAGGAAGTGGGAAAGCGACGCTACGGCATTAACAACGCGCCCGATATGAAGACTACATGCAGGAGTTCTTGTGGAAAAAAATTGGAGATCGACATGAGGCCCTGTACAACTTCTGGGACCAGGTAGCAGCACTAAACCCCTGCTGAGCGAGTTCGACATCTTTCGTGAGCTAACCCAACGGCCCTCTCTAGGGCCACACTTGAAGTCGCAGTGCTGGTCAGAACAAGAGTGCAAAGACGATTCTGAATAAACTGTTACATATGTGATGTACTTAGCGAGGACTTGTGTAGTTCGACGGGCGAGTAGGTGGCATTTTGGTGCTATTGCTCACGTTGACTTTGATTCCCAACTGTGAAGAGGGCAGAAGTCTGGACAAAGGGCCGACCCGCTTTTGCAAGAAAACGTTCGTGAAAAGGGATAGTGTTTGTTATAGATATGATCAGGACCTCGAATAACCCCCATATACAAGCTTACAGCGAATTTGGTGAAAACTCCATTGGCGCCAACTGATGCCAAATAGCGCCAATTTGGCGCCAGCGCCAAAAATGGATATCGTATTCGTGATCAGCGGCCTCGATAACCCCCTGGTGCAAGTTTCAGCGAAAGATTTTTTTTTGACCCGTATCACCCCCGCACTGGGGGTGTAATAGTGCAATAGTGCCGAAAACCTTTCTACACAATTAACTGATAGCGGTTGAAGTGATCTTGAAAAATTGCTTTTGTCTTGGAACTTTCTGAATTTGGCGCCCACAATTTTGGGGCACCCATATACAGTGCGTTTCATAATTATGTATAAGGTCACCCTCAAAATTTGCACTTTCAGAAAAAGCAGTCTTTAAGGATTTTTCTAGCATCATGAACGGATTCCCCAGCACGAATAACCTAGATTTCCGTTTTTCAGCCGCAGCTGCATTTTTCTGAACTTTCTTATAACAGTTGATTGGTTTTTGCACCGTTTCATAATTATAAGGTCACCCTGAGAAAGTG